GACTTAGCTTCGAACCGAGGCTCACGCTTGGTCCGGACCAACGACTCAGAGTCCGATTCCTTCCTACTTTGAATACTAAACCGCCACGTGTCCACTTGACCGTTGGAACTCCAACATCTCTCATGCATGCTCAGACAACCATCCAGACCAGACTCGCATAGTCACCAACCAGACGAACGAACACAGGAGTCCAGAGCACTCCAGAGAGGTTCCAGAGCGCCTAAAAGCATCCGAACCGAGTCCGGTTGCTCTGTCCGGACCAACGTCCAGCGTCTGGACCACCTGCGACATTTCTCTTTGCATCTCCTCACGCCATGTGTCCCGAGGGTCAGCAATCGGACCAAGCAGCCAAGGTTCGGACCACCTGGTGGTTTGGTTCTGGACCAAGCTCCCATGGTCCGGACCATGCCCAAGCCCAGGTCTGGTCCCCTATTTCTTCTCCATTTCAACTCCTTTCTTCCACCCTTGCTTCCATGTGCTAACACCAATGTGTCTCACCACTTGTGCACGTGTGTTAGCATTTTTCCAAAGCATTTTCAAGGGTCAAGTTAGCACACACTAGGTCCTAATGCATATACATGAATGACATCCCCTAGTGGCACTTGATAACCGCAAGTACCATGATTTCCCCCTCTTCATAGTATGGCTATCTATCCTAAACCCAATCACACTCTCTATAGTGTCTTGACTGACAAAACAAAATGATCCTTAGGTCTTATACCTTTGCCTTGACCATCTTTGTTTTTCTCTTTCTTCTTTTTCGTGTTGGAGCACTTGATCACCATCAACTAGGCCATCTCCTTCACTTGAGTGCCTTCTAGCTCCATCACTTGGAGTGTACCAACCTATCTCATAATGACACTTAGAGCACGAGGTTAGTACACTAGGTTTTATCAATTAGCCAAAACCAAACTAGGGCTTTCACAAGGCTACACAAGCCAACTAGTTACGCAAGAGAGCTACAACTAAGCTACACAGGCAAGGTAGCTACTCAAGAGCAACAACACAAGCACAATGTATGAACAAGTAAATATAAGCTTGTGTATGGAGATTGCAAATCAACGGGAAGATGGAGACAAGTTGACAGGATCGATTTTTTCCTGAGGTTCAGTGGTTTGCCAGTCACTTAATCCCCGTTGAGACAAGCCCAAGGTTGCCACCGGTCCTCTTGCTAGTGGTGACCCATAAGTCATACTCTCCCACATGGAGTGCTTACGACAACCTCTAGCACTTACCACAGCCAGACCACTTGACGCCCTTCACGTCTCGCTTTACTAGAGTTGCTCTTCATGATCCCCTCACAAAGCACTTCTCCGGAGCACCGCACAATCTTCTTGCATGCTTCGATGGAGCTCACAACCTCCAAGCCATCTAGGAGGTGGCAACCTCCAAGAGTAACAAGCAACAAGCACTACCGGCTTGTAACTCGATCACCTAGTGCCACACCTTGCAATCTTTCAATGCAACACGCTAGAATCACTCACTCGCAATTGGATCACACCACTATGCGCACAAGTGAGTTAGAGGGCTTCCAAGCACTCCCACATAAAGCCACAAAGGCCCAAGGGTGCTCAGCAGCTAGCCAAGGCTGGCCAAGGTCGCTATTTATAGCCCTAAGGGCGAAATAGCCGTTGCTTAGAAACTCCACAGAAACAGCCTCCAGATCGAGGCTCCGGACCGAGGGTCCGGACCATCACCTCTGGATCTGGACGTCTAGATCGCGCCATGTGTCACTAGCCATTTGAAGATAGCTATTGGCGCGCAACGACTACTTCACCGCGCGCTCACGCCACCTCCGGACTTAGGGTCTGGACTCGCACAATGACTGGTCCAGACCAACGCCACCCAGGGTCAGGAGCGGTCCAGAGAGCTCCTGAAAGCCTCAAAACGCTTCGGACTCAGTCCGGACGTGCCGTCTAGACCAAGCTCCCTAAGTCCGGACACCTCCTCGTGACTTCACCGCTCGCCATGTGTCCTTACCGTCTGGGGGTCACCAACCGGACTCGGCGCCCATGGTCCGAACCATAGACTGGCCAGGGTCCAGAGCCAGTGCCACCACTGCCACTGCCTAAGGGTCAAGTTTTGGACCCTCGACCCATGGCCCGGACCCCTTCTAGAGCAGGGTCCGGAGCCGGTGCCCACACTGGGCAGGGCTAGGGTTAGGTAACGGACCCTCACACCATGGTCCGAACCATCCCTCAGCCTGGGTCCGGAGCCCCTAGAGGCTCCTTCTCGCTTTCAACTTCAACTCCTTTGCAAATGTGCTAACACCACCAAGTGATACACCACCTTGTGCACATGTGTTAGTATTTTCAAAGCATTTTCACTTGCTCTCACCATGCCACTCGATCCTAGCATCGCATGCAAAGTTAGATCGCTCAAGTGGCACTAGATGACCGATATGCAAACAAGTTTGCCCCTCTTGATAGTACGGCCATCTATCCTAAATCCGGTCATAAACTTCTCTACACACCTATGATCGGTGAAATGAAATGCCCTACAAATTATACCTTTGCCTTGCACATTCCATTCCATCTGCTCCAAAGTTGCTGCCACACAAGTACCAACAACTATTGCAAATGATATGATCCACTTCATATTATCATGTGACCTTATTGATTCATCGATCTTGACATCACTTGCTCTTCACTGTTGCCCTTGTTCATCGGCGCCAAGTCTTTGCTCAAGCTTCACCGCCATGTGCGGTCCGTCGCTCCAAAGCCTTCAACTTGCCCTTCACACTTACAACCGGTCCATCAAGCCAAGCCTTGTCTTTATCTTCTCCACCTAGCCACATGACTCCATGTCATGTCTCATATTCAATGAGCTCCTTCATCACACATGTACCTGTGGACTAATTTCGTGTGTATCTCACATAACCACATATTAGTCCACCTAGGTTGTCACTCAATTACCAAAACCAAATAAGGACCTTTCACCCATCGCAAAGCAGCTTTGAAATGAGCCGTAGTAGATACCTGACGCCGAGTCCGGGTTGAAATCGTCATTGAAGAAGCATCGGCCGGGGACGCACCCGAACTCCTCCGACCATGGAACGAAGCTCGCCGTTGACTCACGCCGCGGGAAGGTCGAGCTCAATCCACTCTCCAGCCAGCCGCATCGCCCATAGCTGTCGCTGCACCGTTGACGAAGCGCGTCGCCGGTACCGCCGCCTCCCCGGGACGACGGAGTGGCAATCCGCGCGGACTCCTGTACAGGAGCCGGCGAAGCCGGACTCCACCTCCACGCGCTTGTCGCCAACACCGGAGTAGAACGCCGCCGAGACAGGGAAGAGCACGAGAGGACCTTATTCGTTGACGCCGCCACCGCCGCCGGAAACCTAAACCTAGATCTACTAAGACCTACACCTCCAACCGGTAAGAGACCAGTGGCCTTCACCACCTTGCAAAGACCGAAGGCCATCGGAGGCGAGGACCCCCGGCGGAGACTGGAGCACACACGCTCGGGATGAGAGAGTTCGAAGTCGATTGAACATGTGCTGGTTATGTAAAGATTCTGATTATGTGCTTATATTATGTCGAATTAGCAAACAGAGTTCACTCGCCAAGCCAGTCCTTCCCGGCCAGCAAGGCCTCAGCGTCTCTGGGTTTGTGGCTCCATCATACACCCTTAAAGGGCCTGTTCGTTTGGGCACAGAATAGAATCTCAGCCCACGGTTTGAAATTGCATTTGGTTAAGCCCTGTCGGATTTGGACCCGGCCGACCTCTGCGAATTCCCGTCGCCCCGGCCCGGCCCGGCCCCCGAGTGAATTCTCGCATCAGAGTATTCGAGTTCGCGAGACGCGGCGGAGGCGAGCGCCGGCGACTCGCGACCGTGTGGCGGCGGCACTCGGACGCGACGGCGACACGGTGCTCTCCCCTCCGTCCGCCTTCTCGCAGGTAATCCGGTCGTTCACCTCTTCCTTCCCCTCTAGAGCTAGGGTTTGTTCTTTGGTCCTAGGATTCCGATCGGTCCCGGTCGATTTGCGCAAGCGTGTGCATATGGGTGAATTGCGTGCGGATGCATCTTTTTTTTTAGGTTGCATTTCTCGTAATTTAGATGACGGCGAGGACAGTTTTTGCCCTTCCTCGTTCATGCTGCTGTATGCTGAGAAGAGACGTATGGATTTGCATTTCTCGTAATTTAGATGACGGCGAGTACAGCTTTTGGGTTTCCCCGTTCATGCTGTTGTTTGCTGATTCCATGAGGTGTAGTGGTGGCTGCTCACGTAGATTTCTTCATTAATATGGCCAACTCCATGCACAAATTTCGACTAGGTTCGGCGAAGAGCTAGCTGGCCTTAACATATTTTGTTGAGAAATTCATGAATCCCCATAATCTGCACAGAATTGGTAAAACAACATTTGAGTTCATAAGCCTAGGCCAATCAACTTTCTGTGTGACTGCAGGAATTGTTTAAATCCATTATGATCTTCAATCGTTACAAGCTTTAAGCATAGTAACACAAGAAGAAAAAGTTCTCTTTGTTGTTTTTCTTCTTGCTTTATGCTCCACACATTGCATGTTTTTTTCTGTGAAGAATTTGCTGGGCTTCTAGTGGTGCTTATGTGCTCACAAGCTGGTGAATAAATATACTGTGATGATGTAATCTGCATACGTATTGTTTTCCGTCTCCTCAAGTATGTGATAGAAGAAAAATAAATAAATAAATAAATAAATAAATCATGGTTTACTTGCTGATGTCTACCAGTGTTTTGATAAGTAATCATCAATTTTTTTGATAAGTAAACACTTTAAACGCTAGTAGTCACAGTGCCCCCTTCATCTATGTCTACTGTGTTTACCTATCAAAACCTTTTGATGTCTGCCTACTAGCATCTAATATTTGTCTACTATTTTATGTACATCACTGTGGCTCACCTTCCTGTAACTATCAGAATCTGTCAGTTTATTTATAATTTATGTTCTGGTTTATGGTTCCAACATACTTCCTAGATTTGCAAACGTGCACCTCGAAGTTTGGGTAGAGTCAGGGACAATGGAAGAATGGTTTAATATGTGCGACCACTGCCATGTGCACTTGAGTTCCTCCTCCCACACCAACTTACTCCCGTCTCCCAACGATGGCAAGCTGAATGTCAAATGCTCCCTGTGCAAACTGATATGCAGTTACCAGATAGTAAGATACCTAATCTCACAGCTTCATTGGGTTCAAATTATATGCAATGTTGGTTGTTGGTTTCTCATTTGCGGTGCACAGGAGTTGGACGAGGATACCTCTAGCTCTAGCTACATGACACCACCTGCCAGAAGTCGTCTTCAGCACTCTAGTATGTGTAATGATATTGCCTTCTCCTTTGATTGTAGAAAATATTGTACCTTTTGAATTAGCAAAAAGAGTTGTCTCGTAACTTATGGTGATTGTTCTGCAGATCTTGGGATATCTCAATTGTCGTATGCCACTGGCCACTCTCAAGGTATTATATTGTGACATCTTCTTTGATTGTAACACAACATGTGGACAGATATCGTTTGCCTGATGTTGTAAACAATGCATAGGTGGTTTGTGGTTACTTTACCTTTTTTTCTAGTAAATCTTCTGATTCATATATTGATACGATTTTATGTTTTCTGTGCTTCTTTTACTGTAGGAGATGGAGATCAAAGCAGTATTCAAGGGATCTCAGGTTCTTTAAGTGATTTATCCTTGAGCAGATATGCTGTATCTCAGATGAGCACGAGCCCTGCTTATGATGACAAAGATGTTACAGCTTATGATGGCAAAGATGTTACAGATGGTAAATTTGGGTAAGTTTTCCATTATGCGTATAATATATTTTATTTTCATGTGCAGATGTTAGTCTCTTGAAACTAAAAGACTTATTTTTATTCTGTTGGCAGTGAGGATTCTCATAAGGGATTTATCCATCGCACACTAATGAAATTGAAGCTTTCACCCGAAGAAATAGATGAGCTGAAGAAAAAATATGTTATTGCTGAAAGTGTGAGCCCAAAGGTGGCCCTGGAGAAGGTTAATGATGCACTATCAACGTGGAGTCCGGATGTGGGGAGATACAAATTAAGGATGCCTGGTAAAGCTAAAGAGGGTCTGTATGTATATGATGATACTTTGGGTCAGATCTGTCGCTTGAGAAAGAAGACCTACCTTGTCGCTCGTCAGAAGTCTCTTAGGTTTGGAGAACTTCTGTTAATCATCAAAGGATTGCTGAAAACACACACATTTCTTCGATTGCGATTGCTTCATTACATGCACCCTCAACTTTGTCGTAGCACAACTCCAGAGCAATCAATGGAATTGTTGCGTCAAACAGCTGCGGAATTATCTGTTTTGCTTGAGGTATCTAGGGAGTCTTTGAATCTGACAGCATCTCCTCAGGGTGTGACCGTTGGACCTGCAATTCTGTATGTTGGCGGCAAGGAGCTAATTGATTGCAATCATGGCGGAGCAAGCGGAAATCTTATTCCTTGTGAGGCAGAAACCATAGACAAGATAGAGGCAACAGAAGGTGTAGATATTGAGTATGTTCTTCTTGTGGAGAAGGACACGATATTTCAGTATCTTGCGAGCCGAAATTTCCACAAGAAGAACAACTGTGTCCTAATCACAGGAGGAGTACCAGATGTGTATACAAGAATTCTGTTACGGAAATACAATGATCTCCTCAGTGTTCCTATCTATGCTCTGATGGATGGGAACCCAAGTGGTGCTCAAATATTTAGCACCTATTGCTTCGGATCTAATGAGAAGGCCCATGAGAATTTATTTCTGACAGTACAAGGACTTGACTTCATTGGTCTTTTTGTGAGAGATATTCTTCCAGAAAACAGAAGTGCCTTGACTGAAGATGATCAGGACACTCTTTCAAGTTTGCTGAAGACGAAGTATATTGATAGAATTGAAGGTTTGAGAAGCAACCTAGTATTCATGGATGAAACAAAGTCTAAGGCGGACATTGAGATGATGATGAGGCAGCAAAGCTTAGAGTCTTACATTCTAAAAAGTGTACAAGCAGCCAAGAATAGAAGGAAAGTGCAGCCAATCAAGATTTAACTAACGCAGGTAAAAGCCAGCTTCAGTTTTATATGTGTCCGTATTTCAGTTTTATATTCAGATGTGTATATGTCATATATGATCATACCTTTGTTTTTACTTCTTCTGTTTATGGAGGTTGATCATAAATTCATAAGTCTATTTTGCAATCTTAGCAATTTTAGCTGCAAACTCAACTGCCTCTGTATAACCTTGCCAAATTTTTTGATCTGTGTAGGTCCTCTTTCTTCAATACACACTAATTTATCCTGATTTTTGTCGATGGTCAATATTTACTTTTTAAATTTAATTTGTCTAGGTGTGACTTTTCTGATTAATGAATATTTACTTTTTTATTTGATTTGTCCAGGTGTAACTCTTTTAGATGATGATAGCTGATGATCATGAACCTTTGTCTTTTGGTGCTCGTGTTCTTCATTTACAAAGCATAGTTTTCTTAGCAAGCCACTCTTGTATTTATATAGTGATATTTCTCTATTCTAGCACCCACATCAAGGCAGTCGGCCTCCATGCTCCGCACGAGCTCCTGTTCTGGCTGTGAACTGATGTGCTGAATGTGACCATCCTGCTTGCCCCTCTGGCTGTGAACTGTCCAAGACAGAAGTGTTGTAGATTTTTGCTGTGATTCGGATGCATGAGAGTTTGGTAAAGTGTGGATTTTTTCTGTGTCTCGGATGCATGAGAATTTGACCGGCAAATTCTAACATATCCTTTTTCTTTATTTAATTCCCCTGTCCTCTACCTACCTCCTCTCATTCGATTGGATTGCCTTCTCTTCCCGGTTACAGTAGCACAATGCATGGGGGATTTCCATCCGGATACTTGATTCGTGCAACCAACTTATCCAATCAGCACCACCATGGTCCGTAAGGACAGTGCCACAGCGTCTTCGACCGTCTGGACTTCTGTGGTCCCCGTGGTGGTGTCCCTGGTCGTGGTCGTGGCCGTGGTTCGCCCGGACACTTCTTCGCGACTCCAGCCCGTGGTCGCCGTGCTTCTCCGCGCAGTCTCCATCTGCAGAGCCGCCGCCGGCACCGTCCGCTATATCCACTCTGCGTATCAGCATGATCGGATAAATTTTATTTCTAGTAATCTTTCGATCTTCTTTTTATATCATCAAAAACATTTGGGTTAAATATCCTCGGAGCTTGTTTAAACGGCCAATATTCAGTTTTGATTGGCAACCGATGTTCAACAATTGATCAATCAAGACAAAGCATCTCATAGTATTTCCAAACAAAATAATATTTAAATTCCTTTAATAAATCTATCAACTCTTGCTTATACTCAGAATCCAACTTAGCACTCATATGCGTCGGCCTAGGCCTATCTCTAGGACCAATATCTATCTCCTCTAATTCATCGGCCGATGTAAAGCCATGCTCTAGTTGACCACATGTACCATCTATTGGATTATCCATTAAAACAAACTCTCAGAGCCGACTGCTTGGATCGGTTGTTGGCTTTCATCATTGATCTTAATAAAGCCTCATTCTCATAGCTTGCCAGAAAAACATTCGAAGTCTTACAATTCCCAATACATTAGATCAGCTGTTGCTATACTCAGAATCATCAGCATGAACCAGCTCAACATCATCTCCATGCCACTGAATCAAGCATTGATGCATAGTTGATGGTGCACAACAATTTACATAAATCCAATCACGACCAATGAGTAAACTGTATGAACATTTTTCATCAATGACAAAGAATGTAGTGAGCAAAGTCTTACTTTCAATTGTCAATTCGACGTTTATTGCCCCTGGTGTTGGATGCATTACTCCTAAAATCCTTAAGCATCATGCTAGTCTCAATTAAATCTTCTGGTCCCTTGCCAAGCTTGCGAAAAATAGTATAATGCATAAGATTAACAGAAGCACCTTCATCCACCAACATTTTGCTCATCGGCTTCCCATCAACAAAACATTTTACATATAAAGCTTTTAAGTGTCGATGTTTGTAGACAAAGTGATATTTATCTAAGACCCTTCTCATTTCTTCACTCATGAGGGGGCGATCATCCTTAGTCAGCTCGGCAGGCACTAAATGGTGCATGCAATTCTTCAGGCCCCACATAACCTCCATCACAGTACTATCATGCAGGCAAGATATTTTCTGAAAAAATCCACAGTAAAATTGGTGCTCAAAATTGTTCACAGACATAAGCAAAACGAGGAACTAATACTGACCATGGTTTTTTCGATGATTTCCTTATATTCATGACTTCCTACAGCTAGTTTCTGGTCAGGCTTGATACAGCATCTGATCATCTTCGCAAGCTGTTCATTAACACCAGTATTAGGGTCAATGGCACTGGCCTTATCCTCAAAAGCTTTAAATGCTTTCAGCCAAAAAATCTGATAAAGAAATGAACAGAGACATGAATGTTAGGAGGACACATGCAATTAGTGAAATGACATGCCATGTCTTAGCTATAGAGTGGGTAATTCAGTAAGTACATGTGCCTCAATTGTAAAGATATAGCCTTGCTTGATTGAAAACTGACCATAGCGGCATTAGTTGGAAGTAGTATCATTACCATTTCAGGCCTCAATTATCCCTATCTAGCAGTTACTAGTCAGGAATTCGGGCATGCAAATATCGCCGAAGGTATAAATTTGTACCAACCGCTTCTTTAGATATCTCTTTGCACCACTAGTGACCTTTTAGCTAGTAAAATAGTTTTGGGGGAATAAGAATAATACCATCATGCTACATGCTTTCTCTAATATTTTTGAAAGGTTTTTGGAGGAGTTATCTTTATGTCGTATCTCTAATATTTTTCCCCACTGAGGTTTTTAATGGGATACCAATGACATAGTGGTTTATTTAAATCACACATAAATATATTATTTTCTCCTTGCTTTCCAATAAGGTTTAAAGGAGTTCTTATGACATATCTATATATTCCTCATATTTTTCCATTGGGTTTTTCGAAGAATTTCAGCTAGCAGCTGCATTGATCTCAAGGAAGATTCGATCAAGGAGAGTGTTGTGAAATGGCGCCTGTTCCCAACAGGCACCTTTTCAAGTGGTGATCTCATCCATTCACAAGAGCACTTAGAGATAGGATTAGTTAGTTAACCATGTCTCTTATTGGACATGTCTATTCGTCCAACTATTGTCTCTTCCCAAACTGTTCTCTCTTTCCAATAGGTGTCTGTTCAAGACACCCATTCATATGTATAAATATATTTCAGAGATCAATGGAAACTGTTGTCTCTTCCCAATAGGTGTTTGTTCAAGACACCCTTCCATATGTATAAATATATTTCAGAGATCAATGAAAATTACAGTTCTTCCAATCACTTTCATTTACATTCATTTCTAACAAAAAAAAACTCAATGTTCGAGAAAACCTTCGAACCTTGGCTTTTACCTTTGTCGATGAGAGGAATTTTTTAACACTAGCCCCATAAATTCGCACTAGGATTCGAACCCGGGCCTGCTAGATGCTACGCAAGTACTCTAACCACTCAGCTAAGGGCCCTCTTCGCAAGGTTGCTAAGTACACCTACTCGTACAGGCAGGCTACTGCATGCCGGCCCGGGCGGCACCAAGCTCTAAAATCTCCATGAATCAATCATTGCAATCGTGGGGGTATTACTGTCAGGCTCAATTTCCAACCCCTAACAACTAGATTGAGAGAGAGAGAGAGGATGATGGCAGCGGGGTGGTTTGACTCACCTAGCCCGGGGAAGTAGTTCCAATTCTCATATTCCTCCACGTCGTCTTCGTCGCCCTGTTCCAACTCCTCCTCCGACTCTTCCTCCCGGTCCACCATTTCCTCCGCCTTCTTCTCCTTCCCCTCTTCCCACGCCCTAGAGGGTGAGGCCTTCGCCTTGTCAGGGTTGGGTTCGATGCCACGTGCGCTGATGATGTAGCCTAGGAGTATACCGGACAGAATTCCAAAGATGCACTTTGAAGGGTTCAGCTTCCATTGGTACCTTTTCAGGTTGGCGAACATTTCTTTGAGGTCGGCGATGAGATTATCGGCAGTCTTGGACTTGACGACCACATCATCGATGTAAGCTTCGACATTGCGGCCGATCTATTGATCGAAGCATATCTGGATTGCCCTTTGGTAGGTTGCCCTGGCATTCTTGAGTTTGAAGGACATGGTGGTATAGCAGTACGCACCAAAAGGTGTGATGAACGACGTCTTGATATGGTCTTCTTCCTTGAGGAAAATCTAGTGATAGCCAGAGTAACAGTCGAGGAAGGAGAGCAGTTCGTAGCCGGCCGTGGAGTCTACAACCTCATCTATTCGAGGCAAACCGAAGGGGCCTTTAGGGTAGTGTTTGTTAAGATCAGTGTAATCAATGCACATTCTCCATTCTTTATTCTTTTTTTGAATGAGAACAAGGTTTGCTAACCACTCAGGATGATACACTTCTTTTATGAATCTGGCAGCTTGGAGCCATTTTATTTCTACCCTAATAGCCTCCTTGTTGTCTGGCATGAATCGTCGGAGTTTCTACTTGATCGGTTTGGCGGTCGGCGAGACATTCAAGGAGTGCTCGATCTTCTCCCGTGGTACCCCTGGCATGTCTGTAGGTTTCCAAGCAAACATGTCGGTGTTGGCACGTAGGAAGGAGATGAGCACGCTTTCCTATTTGGGGTCGAGGTGAGCCCCAATCTTCATGGTCTTGGAGGGGTCGTCGAGGCCGAGGCTGGCTTCCTTGGTTTCTTTGGACTTGGCGAAGGCACGAGGAGGTTCCAGTGATGGGATCTCCAGGTCATCGGTGAGCACCGTCTTGGCGTCGGTGAGCACACTGGCCATCTGGATGGAGAGGTCGATGGCTTCGGTGAGGGTGAGACTCTCTGTCTCGCAGGCGTAGGCGATAGAGAGGTTGGCCCGTAGGGCCAGGACTTCTATAGGCGAAGGCATCTTTAGCACCAGATAAGTGTAGTGTGGTACAGCCATGAACTTGGCGAGAGCTGGCCGACCAAGTATGGTGTGATAGGTGGTGTTGAAGTCGGCGACGTAGAAGTTGATG